TGTAATAACAAACTATGGTATATATATGGTGGAGAGAAGAAATTTAAATGTGGTATTAGATTTCTATTCCTAGCTTTCAAGGACTTCTCACTGGAGCTCCTTAGCTGTGTTGTGAGAGAAGGGAAAAACATGTTGTGCAGACCTTCTGTCACAGATGTGAAATACAGCTGAAGTTTCTTGACAGACACGTGGAGGTTGGCTCCTGTTTCAGACAAACCTGATCTGGGTGTCCCATGAACCCTCTGAGTTCTGAGGGAAGGTTTTATTTAATCTGAAATCATAAGAATGTTGGTGGACTGGGCTGATTTCTCCTGGAGTTCTCAAGCTTGTTCAAACTCACAGGCTCACATAAAATCCTGCCCTGAAGGCCTTGAATGGCAACGTTGCTTAGAAATGAAATTGCCAGGCTTCACCACTGTGCTTCTAAACCAATTCACTACTGTTTAAAAGGAGGCTTGACTGAGCTCATGATAAGACACTGATGTTGGCTTTTTCAGCATATTAACCTTACAGCCTTAAAATACAGTGGACTTGATACTGCAGCAACTGAGGGAATTACTGAGAAGAGGAAAATTAGAACTGTGTCAGCAGTTAGAGGTCTGGTTTCTGGATACAGAAAGAAACTGCACTGGTGGGAAAAAAAAAATCCAGCTGGCTTTTGGAATAGAGATGCTGCAAAGGAAATTTGCCCTTTGTTATGGAAACCGCTTGAAGATTTGAGAGTGCTTGAGTGGTTACAGGTAGATTAGCAACAGGAGGGGGAGCTCTCACTGCATTACCCAAAGAGGAGGGAGATTCTGGACTTGGTGGCAAGCCCTTAAATGAAGAGTATGGCACTCCTGCTGCTCCCTGTCAATAAAATGTTGGTGGCTGCTCTTCATATAGGCAAGACCAACGGAGAATGTGCATGTCTGGAAAAAGCAAGGCAATCCATGTCCTGTTCCTGTCTCTCCTGCTATTGCTACCTTAGTTTTTTTGGTTCCAGGCATAGTACAGTTGTGTTACTGTCGAAGAAAGCTGTATTGCAGCTATGCCATAGCAGATGTAGTTCCTTTCCCCCCATCCTTACCATCAACTTCAAATACCAGTGTCCTCTTTCTCAGCTACTGTGAGTGTTCCCTGAGATGTCAGCTTTAGAGAGGAGGGATAGATAGTGAAAATACTTGCAGGACATTACTTTTATGGTTAGAGCAAAAACTGGTGTAGGTGAGAAGGAATAATTTGTTTCCAGTGCAAGTAGGATGAACAAGATTGAGATTTGTAAAGCAGTGTTATTTAACTGGTCTTTTAAAGGCTGGTTGCAACTAGGAAACATATCAACATTAAGAAATTGAGGTACACAGCAAAGAACAGAGAAATTTGGGGGTTTAGTAAGCTGGAGATTTCTCTGAAACAGAAACCCACTTCCTCTTGTAACCATTTACAGTTAAATATCTCTCAAACTGTAATTTTTTAATTACTTTCTGAGTGAAAGGAAATGCAATTCTCCCTCCCTATTTATGGACGGGGAGCAGAGACAGAGATAGTAGGGTTTGCAGGTGGGGGCAGGGGGGTTTAACACAGACAGATGTAAGCAGACATATGGATGTAAGTGGTAGGCTGCAGGCTAGCTCTGGCTCAGAAGCTGTGTAGGGTGTCAACTCCAGGCTGTGTCCCAGAGGATGTGCCCTGCTCTTGGTGTATCGGTTCAGGCAAAGTGCCAGTAAGATGCTTTTTTGGCTTCCAATCCAGAGCCTGCATCTGGGATGAGTGGACGGATCTCTCATCTGAGTGCACCCAACTGTACAGACATGCCTCAAGTTACTTTTTAATGTTCACAGGGTGAAAAGGGAATACATTCAGTTCTCCTTTAACCTGCATAAGTGCTGGCTCAACTGATTAGCATCTGTCTTCTTTATTTGAATGTGCATGTTATTGGCCTTTATGTGCATATTATTGTTAATCTTGCTGTGTCTGTGATGTTAACTTGGATAACATCAAAATAGTTTTAGGTAAGTGCTTTGGGTTTTGCTTGGCTTTTGTTTGTTTTAAATAGGAAAGATGCTAGCCCTCTTCTGCTTGAATTACTAATCTAAGGTAACTAATAAGGTTTTATTGTGGGCTCTTAAAACATTGGTGAATTTTTTTCCAAAGGGTTTTGAGTGAAAGGAACTTACTGTGAGAGACTATTCCTCATATTCTGTATAACATAAAAAAAAAAAATCTTTGCTTTCAGAGTGTATGTTGGTATCTCTACACTGATGATACACTTGGCTGGGTTTTTCCTCCTTAAATTCATTGGATCAAAGCAATAATATAAATCTAAGTTTTTATTCATCAACTTCTCTCCAAGTTTTGTAATTTGCTGGAATTAAATAGGGAATCTGGGAATAATACATGATCATAGATACAGTACATATCATGCAGGCTTATTTCCAGAATGTCAGTGGAGGGTTATATTAAATTCCTTTGTTTTGCTGTAGTATGATTACAGACATTCTTTTGTAGCTTGGGACATTGAGTCTAAAAGCGAGAAATGTGAGAGGTATCTGGCAAGAGAAGATAACATGAATTTAATTCTAGTATTGGTGTTGTTCTTAACTACGTTCTGATTGGCCAGCAAGATCTGGAAAAAAAATCTTGGTCGTGTCAGTATGACTTTGAATACCTATCAGGAAGAAGAGCAATCCAGGGTCACAGTGCTTTAAACACTGTCAGTTAGGTCTCAGGAGAGACCTGTTGCATTTACTGGAGAGGAGAAAATGTAACTAACTTCATTGAGACCACTTTTTTTTTTTCCTCCCCCCCCCTTTTTGGCCAGTGCTCTGCTTCATTACCCATGTTCACAAAAGAGGGACCCCTTCTTTTCTCTCCTGGGAGCAGCGAGCAATAGATTAAAACAAGCATCAATCAGGAAAGGAGCAAGTAACTGCTTAAAGGAACAGGGCAGAATTCCTCCCCGCT